TAGATTCTAAAAATTCTATTATTTTTTTATTGCTGTCTTTTTCGATTCAGTCAATTTGATTTGTACGTAAGGATTGAATTTGATAAGTTTTTAATCAATTCAATTTTTATGTAAGTGTTAGAACTATGTTTTTTTTTTAAAAATAATAAATATGAAAGGTATAAAGATAAAACACACCATAATTCTAAAACTAATTAATTTAAAATTGTGTAAAATTTTATATATATCATTTAACTCACAAAACAATATGAGATGAGATAAATGCCCCACAATCAAAGGAGGGGACTACTCAAGGGAGTTAATTTTTTTAAACAATATAAAAAGTACGCCTCCCTAGCAAACTTAGTTGTGGATTACAAAGATTGGCAAATTCCTCTCGGACGTCGATTTAGGTGTGTATCTCAATATTTTGCCTCAAAATACCAATACTTTCCTCTAGTGGCTAATCAACATGAACAGTTATCTTAAGATTGCAAGTATGAATATACATGTATGTTTTTTCTTTTTAACAGCATGAATATACACAGGGGCGGAGGCAGAAATTTTTTTCAGGGGGGGCAAAATATTAAAATTTTCAAAGTTCAGGGGAGGTTAAAAAATTTTTCATATACTAATTTACAAGATTTTCAAATTTCAGGGGGGCGAGCGCCTCCCCTCGCACCCCCCTGGCTCCGCCACTGAATATACATGTATGTGCATTGCAGTACACAATCAATTAAAGAAAAGAGTTAATTCTGAATTTTTTTTTTTAAAAATTCCTCAAAGTATAAAAAGGTTAAAGTGTCTGTATTTTCTCCAAATCACCTTCATTGTTTTCTTCTTCTTTTTTTCACCTTCTTCTTTTTCTTCCTTTTTTTTGTCTTCTTTATTTTTTTTCTTTTTCTGACAGGACCTGTTAAATTGAAAATATAATGAGAAAAAAGAGCAATACCATTTGTAATCAACTAGAATATTGCCTTATATGCAGCGCTGGTTTTTAGATCATTGAAACTTTGGATGGTGTTAAGACTGTGTGGGTTGGAAAACTGTAATATCCAAGGATTTCTTACTTAAGATTTAAATAAATTATTTGAGCTCTTAGAAGGTGTATATGTGATAAGATTAAATTTGAGGTTAAAATTATAATGAGGTGAGGAACTCAGGGACTAAACCTTGTCATTAAAGCTTAGGACCTAGGTGGCAATATTCTCTTTTTGTGAAAACCCCCAAATCAGATTGGGTCGGCAGTCCAGTCGGCAGTTTCTTTTTTT